GTATCGGCAAGTACTCAGATCCAAGTATCGGTATCGTATCGGTTTGAAAAAATTGGTATCGTTGCATCCCTACTTGGTGGTGACATAAACACGTACAGCACTGAACATGTGTTCCACCTCTGTGTTAATGGAAGTAATCAGGCTTCCTTGATAGAGCCCACACTTTCTTAAATTTACAATCCATGGGGAAAATTGAAAGTCTCAGGAATCTGCAAGCTACCCATCAAATAATGGAAGTCCAAAGCTTTCTCCGAATTATAATTCAACACCGTGATGATAATGACAATGATGAGCAGAAATAGAGGGAAAATCCAAGTCCACAATGATGCCTTTCTTTCAAAAGCACCAGATTAATGCAACCACAGAATACTATCATATGTTGCACTATACAAACGTACTGTCCTCACAGTTCTGGTCACTTCCACATGTCACTGGAAAATGCATGAAATCTATCAGAACTTGCTAATAGGACCAAAACTAATAAATTCTCCACTGTTTGGAAGATTGACTTTATCACCATGTTTTCTTCCTTCAAACCGTCCTTCAGCCCTCTGGCAGTTACCCTTAACAAACACGACGCTTGACAACAAACCAACATAACTACAGCACAAAATACACATTTAACAATGGAATCATTTCATATTATGTCAGAATAATAAACACTTTGTATTTACTGTGTTACTACCAAAAAGTCACGCTGAACATGGCTGAAGTGTTAAGGAAATTATAAATATCGTCAAAAGCATCAGGCTTATTCTGAATTATTTTAAATGTGAGTTTTTCCTTCCTCCTTGTCCTGTTTTGCTTCCTTCACCTTTAGCTAATCATGGCAGGTGGCTGCCCCTCCCAGAGACTGGCTCAGCTGTTGGTTTCTTCCTGATAAAATTGAGTTTTTCCTTCCTATTTCCTAACAAGTACTAACTCACAGGGGTCGTCTAATTATTGAGGTTTCTCTATCATTTTAGGGAATTTACCTTACAATTTAAAGACAACTGTTGTGATTTGGAGCTATAAAACTGTATTGAATTATAGAGGACACCTACAAAATATAATATGTGTAAAAATGTAAAGCTAAAAGAGATAATCCACAAATGCATGAGCCAGGAAAAGTACAGACACAATGGGAAGAAGGGTTGAAACAACTCATTATGTTAAATTGGTTCCCATCATTTGTTATATTGATGAAATCTGAAGTGAAGTGTGATTTACTGTCTGCTCAAATGCAGCAACATTTACATGGATGCTTCAGACCAACCCAAGATGTTCACAGAGTAAGAGGTCAAGCTCACTGAGAAACTCAATCATCTGTGAACTGGCAGCTTCGCCTTTCTTCCTCACAGTGTCGATAACACAACGAGCTCTGTTGCTTCTGTTTTGCATGGCGTCTGCTTCCTCCCTCTCAGCATCAGTTATCACCTTTTTCTCCAGCAGTTTGTCCAGCAGGCTGTTGAGAACAGGTGGTGATATCCCATCGATGAAGCAGCTCCGTACATTTAACAGCCTCTCATTGGGAGAGAGACTCAAAGGCATTTGCCCACACAACGATTTTACTCTAGAAGGCAAAAGATAAACTTGTCTTTGCCACATGCTGGTGGAACTGATGCTGTCTCTAATAAATAACTGAATATTGTTCATGTTTCTTTCTAAAATCACCTGGAAGGATGGGAAGTAGTTGTCATAGGACTCTTCATCAAATTCAGCCTCTATTGGCTGAACTAGAACCGAGTCATCTTCAGGAACAGTGGACAGAGTGTAAACCTGCTTTGGATGCAGTTTACAGTGAGGAGATGTCTCTATGTACCTCTCATCTCCAACTAGTTTCTTCCTGGTGTGCAGCACATCTCTCAGAGCAACATTTTTAGGCAACAACAGCACGCTGAGGAAGGATGTGAGATCAGGATCAACTGGAGGTTTGTAGAAGAGCAGAACCAACGCTCGGACTGGGTCAGGAGGAGAGTCTTCATCCTTGACATTACCATAACCAGAAAACCCTGTGATGTTTACAACAGCATGAGTTTCTGTTATCTTGTGAGGGGTGATGAACTCTATGCCCTCATCCTTCACATGAGCGACCTGCAAGAACTGACCTCCACCTGTGGAGATGAGCTCACAGTGTGGGAGATGAAGCTGACACACAGACTGCTGCTGACATTTGATGTCAAACAGGGGTCCTGCAGGCTTCTTGTGGTGTTGGGCCAGCAGCTTCCTGTTCCACGGGACAGTCCTGTAAACCACGTCTCCTTCTCCCTTCATGACAAACACCAGGCCGGTTACACTGCACTGGTACAGGCCTGGACAGGAGCACTGGAACAGGTAGGTTTCATCATCAGACTCATGAGCAGTGATGATAGGTGAAACCTCCTTTAACTTCATATCAGGTAAGCTTGCTGCTTGTATCAAGTTCTTGATTGGTGTTTTGGTCAGTGAAGACAGGCTGTGAGAACGTGTCAAGTAGCAGGAATCTGTGGAGGAGAACTGTACATGAGAACTCTGTGAAAGGGTATTGGTTGATGACATGTTCTTAGTCATGACAGGAGGATCTGTTTCTCTTGACTTGTTTTTTATCCATGGAGAAGAAACTCTGCAACCATCTTCTTTAATTGTTCCTTCACTTATATATTTAGGCAACCCAGTGGATTTACAAGGTGATGAAGTGTTGCCCATCAGGTCTGTGGAGCCAAACTTAATTTCACCACATTTACCTTCAGTATACTGGTGAGATGTGTT